TTATTTCAAACGATGTAATAATTTATATGCCCACATTAAGTCGCATGCCCTACACACAATAAACGCAGGATACCAATAAAGGTTCGCATGTTACAGTTTATTAACTGTAATTGTTGTGATAAGCGTAACCGATTTAGTCAAAACTGCTTCATGTCGTACACGTTATCGACAACAATGAAAATTTGTTTTGTTATTTCCCTTCTCCTCACAATTCAACACGTAAGGACATTCCCTCAATTTCACACGTTGTCCGTTAAAATTACGGCATTAGAAATTCACACGTAGCACCTACATTATATTTGATGATAATTTTACCGCAATTTCCGTCGACCAATTCGATACTTCCACCAAGCGTAGCTAATAAACCAATCTGTTTACTAAAGCGTTTCAAATTAATATTACGCCAATATCAGACGTCGCTAAATATGAGAAAATGTGGTATTACACTGGAGTAAACACAAAACACACCGGTACTTACGGGCAGCTAAATCTCACGCACTTGACAGCGAAGAAAATAAAGATTTTTAATTGGTCCTAATCCATTTTGTGTGACTGGGGAAAAGCAACGTAAATCGTGATTAAGACCTAAAAGGTTGTGACGATGGTACATTAGTACAAATATTATGTTTCTGGACATTATCAATTGTCTTGACTTTATCTAAAAACCGTCCTATTTATTTTTCAAAACACGTTTCGGAGACTGGATTCTGTCTCCGTCTTCGGGTAAAACCTACTCAGTTGGGCCCAATCTGTAGAGCTAGTCCCATATCTTCTGAGGGCCTAGCTGAGTAGGTTTTACCTGAAGACGGAGATGGAATCCAGTCTCCGAAACGTGTTTTAAAAAATAAAAGAGGACGGTTTTTAGATAAAGACAGGACGATGGATAATGTCCAGAAACACAATATTTGTACTAAGCTCATCGTGGTCATGACAACGTTATAGCGAGTCATTACTGTCAAGACCGCAAATTTCCTGATCACGTCACTGCAGCATCAGTAGTTCTTGCGCCGAATAATTTATTCCTCCCTTCTGAGTGTAATCACCAATACAGATGGACGAATACCACTTCAACGATATATGAATTATGATATCTTATAAGGGTTTGATCGCCATGTTGAAAATAATTAGTTATGGGGTTGCGACACATGGCGGCAATACGGTAGGGAGTTAGTCCTAGCCAAGACCGGGTGCCTTCAGCCACCCGCGTAGAACGTGATCTACGGGTGCAATGCATACACTCCCTTATTGAATCTGGGGTAGAAAGAACAGAGATAAACCGTTAAGGACGGATTTTTTCTAAATGGTATATAAGAATTCAGTCCGTACCTCACAGGAAACACATTGCGTCATCACTACAAATCCCAGCCGGTTAATGCTGTTCACGGAAGCAGTCGCTGTTTACTGTGGGCACAATACAGAGTTGCGGTACTTTAAAGCAGATGGTACATATATCGACCATTGGGCTTTTAAAGGGTTAAATGACGGCAATTTCTTGAGACTTCATGACACAGTCTTAAAATTCTGTTAACTTAATGTCACAGAGAGTTTCACGTAAATGTATTATAAAAAACTGTCTGTATTTTCTAATTACTCATTTAAAATCAAATATTTTATTTGGACAGTAATAATTTTTATTGTATTCGTACATGTTAATATAACATTATTATAAATATACGTGGGTTACACTAACACAAAGGATGGACGTAAAACAGTTGTTATAGAACTACGTTCATTTTCAAACAGAACACACCCAAAATACGGCCCATAATTTTGTAATCACAAAACCTCCAACGGTGTTAATTAAACTTCAAGAAATAGGCTCACTGACGTTAGAATTAAGACGTGTAGATATACACATTTTGAAGGCCACTAGGCGCCAGAAATTTTGGATTGCGTCATATGCTTTTATTCGTGTGAAAAGAAAAAGATCGCAAAATAACTTAAATAACTTACGAGACTACTAGCATATATAGGCTTCCAAGTTTTGCTGGCGCATTTAAGGCATTGTTCAAAGATTTATAGTTTATTTTGTGTGGGAAAAAAATGTTTATTTTGAGTTAGAAAAATAAATTATGATATACAATAAAATTCAATAGTACTTGTGCCTTGTATATTACTGTTATATGATAAATATTTATTATATTATGACTTATAATTTAATTTATGTTGTAAAAAATATGCGTATTTTGAGTCCGAAAAATAAATTTTTCCGTACAATAAAATTTAATCATACTTCTGAATTACATATTACTGCTGTATACGAAATATTTATATATTCAGACTTTATTTGGATTATTCCCTACCAGCGTACACACATAATGTTACTGGGTCTCTACGTTTTTTAGCATCGGAGAGAAATGAGTCTTATTTCAAACAATTTTCTCGCTTTGCACTGTAGTGACCTTATGACCTATGAATATCTCCGGCTGTATTTGTGAATTATCTTCTGCAGAACCTGTGATTACCGCAATCAGATCCTTCTATTAGACAGTTCAATTCTGTGCGTGCCATAAACATATTAACTTCTGGCATTCAGTCAATTCTGAAGCGAAGATTTAAAATAATACAAAAATTGTAACGATATATTATAAATTCTATTTCGTTTCAATCACAATTGGCGCAATAAAATGAATTTTCCTTAAATAAATTTAACGAGACGGAAACGAGTTAATTTCTGATTAGAATGAAGCTGAATTCTGCGCAAAGCGAATAGCCTAAATGTCTATTCAAAACTCATTTCACTTCCAATGATGTAAAGTACTTACAATTTTTAAACACGTATTGTATTTTTTATTAAAACACTTGCATTTGACAATTTTCTGTATTACGGAAGAGGAATCAGTTCCATTCAAGTAAATCAGATGTAACCAATCAAATTTTATATGTTAATTTGATTTGTTTCATTCTGTTCCATCACACTAACAATATTATAAAAAGATAAAACAGTTCCCTTCCGGTGCGACTGGTGAAGATTTTTCTTATTTAAATTCTTCATGCCCTTGCATGTTTAGGTCCTTATAGACCATCATCAGAGGGACATTGATACAGTTTGGAAACCACTTTACAATAGGTGTTCTGAGTGTTAAGATATATATACATACAATGCTTACAACACACAAATGAATACAAAATCCAAAGCCGCTGTAGTTGTGAAAACTTTGGATTCTGTCTCCATTTGTGTATTGTATGTATATATATATCTTAACACTCAGAACACCTATTGTAATAGTGGTTTCAAAACTGTATCACTGTCCATCTGATGATGGTCTCTAAGGACGGAAACATGTAAGGGCATGAGGAATTGAAATAAGAAAAATCTTCACCAGTCGCACTGGAAGGGAACTCTTTTATCTTTTTGTAATTTATACTGTTATTTTAAACTTATGACCTCTGTGTACCAGGAAACTAATAGACATGATTTAAGACATCTTTCTAGGCCTAACAGCATAAAAATTAAAACTAAACAATAAAGGATAATAACGTAGGAAGCTAGCATTTCTTAAGAACACATTAAATATTCACCTAGCCTCTCCAATCCGTTATCTTCATGGCGTTAATTTTACTACGACCGAAGTGACAAGTGAGAATTTGGAGATTTCAGTTCCTGCACTATGAAACTCTTTTCAACAAGAGAGAGTAGCGGCGTATTGTAGGTTCACAAGGGCACATTAAACATCTGTTTTAATATGTGAAAATGAACTTATGAGTTTACCTGCAAAAAAAAAAACATGAGATTCACAAGCGTAGGTTTATAATTATATGAATATTAGGCCTATATTGAATATCATCCATTTTCTGGGGTACATTTAATAAACAGTAGACAATAGACAATGCTCAACATAACACAATATCCAAAATAATGATACAGATATTGTCAAAAATTTTCAGAGTCCCGCCGCAAATCAAATAAGCATTTCCAGTTCTGCGGTATCTTCAGCCCGAACATTTATAATTCGCTCCCCTGTCTTTGAAGATTTATTAGGATAACATAACAGCTAAATTTATATTTTGTTTCCAGGTTTTGTATATCAATTTAATTAAATGTAATAAATAATTTTGTCTTGCTTTAGAAATAAAAATTCGTGAAAAATTAATACCGCCCCTCTGTTCTCATGATCTGGGACCATAATTGAATATCCAGCTTAGATTATGACAAAACACGTGACCTGTTTGCCGAAATTTGTGCCCGAAATAAAATAAGATTTTAATGGCAATTCTCCTCCATCGCCACACGAACAGACCTGCTTACTTTCGGCAAGTTTCGCTCTGTAGTTAAAAATATGAAGACCTAAGACTTCGACATTTCGGAGATCAGCTCTTTAAGCGTCTAAATACTGAAGAAAATGTTAGGCTCCACTAGTTCTGTGAGGCCTACTCGTAAGTGGAGCCCATAAATTGGGTCCCCTTTCTTGTATACAAAGACGGAAACAGAATCGATGTGTTTTCATAGGATAGTGTTTACTGATTCCAAACGATATTCCAGAAGCGGGCTCTGTCTGTCCGTTTTCCTGTGACGTACGTGTGGGTTTAGGCATATACAAACTCTGATAGTACTGTTTTTCCTTACCTTTAGACGTCACAGAGTAGGCTCAGATATATTGTTGTTATCCTACTTCCCCCATTTTGGAAAATAAAATAAAATTGTGCGATTTCCATGCTGTCTTTGTGTTTGTGTGTCCCCCATAACTTCTCAATGTCGGAACCAATTTTTGCGAAACTCGGCATGTATATCATGGCACCCGAGCTCATCTCAACAGCGTAGTTCATAAATCCTTCTCGTCAATGTGTCTATCCTCCCATCGCAGCTAGGCAACGACTTCGTAAAAACGTTACCGCGGCAACGAATACACACACAACAACAGAATTATTGGACTCGTCGTTTCTATGCGGTCCGTGTCGTATTAAAGAGATTAGGCTATTAGTTCTACCCCGAAATTTTCTCTGTTCCCGGTGCACGAACTCTGGTCCGCGTATGAAACAGCATCAAGTGACGAACTTACCGAGAGTTGGCAAACCGATGGAGTGATGAGCTGCCGCCGCCGCCGCCGCCGCCGCGCCGCAGGTAGCTCGTCTCTCACCACGCGGCCCGCGGGCCATAATCGCAGCGATAGAAAAGTCTGTAGCTCTTGTTTTCACTGTAGGAACGAGGAGCATATGGGCGCCTGGCCCGTCCTCTTGCATTGTCCCCAGTAACATTCCCCAGTAACACACGCAACACAACACACAGTGCCCCAGTTCTACCCACAACTCGGTCCCGCCATCACCAGCCCGTGGTAACTGCTGTACACTCTCACGCAGACTAACTGCTCTCCACACCCTGCGTGCTGCCAGCGATCGCCGCTAGATGGCAGCCTCTTCGCGCCACGATCACGATACTGGGGCGGAGTTAGGGGGTCGGAGTACTGATTGACAAATTATGTGGTGGGGGAAGTGATATCACATTGGAGGGGAGTACAAGCATTTTACGTCACGGACCTTATGGGGGCGTGGTTTAGGCACGTAGGCAAGGAGGTACTATTGGTCGCGCGGTGCATGTCAGGAGGAGGGATATCTGTTGTTGAATTTAGCTCCGTGAACTGTACAATCAAATGTTCAAACAGCCTTGTTGTAGCAAGTGAAAGGAAGGTAGTTGGGAGGGGGGGATCTTAACCAGCAGCACTGGGCCATGTGTGTGGTCTCTGAAAGGGCCCCATCCAGGTATCGTTAAACTGGTCTGAATGGTCAGTAACAAGATACATACCAAACAGCGGTACCAGCGTTGCTACTGAACTCCACATAACTCTTACATATAGCCCATGTCCCTGGAGTTCATATAGACTTGCATCTATTTTTAGCCTACTTTCTTTATTTTGGAAAAATAAAAATAGGCTGATGTACCCCATTTAAATTCAGGTGGGAATGAAATTAACTGGGACACACAAACTTGATGCTAGTAAGGAGGTTCGTCTAGGACAGGCATGTCCAACTTCAAACAGGTTGTGATCGACTTTTTAGTGTCAAAACTGTCAGTGATCTACCACCCCCTCGTATTGTCTTACCTCGCTTTAAGCAAAAATATTGGTAAAAATAACACGACACATGATGTTTGTTGTAAAAGCAAAATACATTGAAAGTACAGACTATTTTAACGCGTATTTTTCTTTCAAAATCTGAATTTAATCATATTATATTACAAGTGACTTTACATGCTTTTCACGTATAATTTCCTAATACGCCTATGAGATCTACCAAAAATCGTCCCACAATCGACGCGTTGGACATGGTCTAGAAGTAAACACAGAGAAAACTAAGTATATGTTGCTGTCTCGTCACCAGAATGCAGGGCAAAATCATGACATAAAGATAGCTAACAGATCCTTTTAAAATGTGGCACAGTTAAGATATTTTGGAACGACGATAATAAATCAAAACCTGATTCAGGAGGAAATTAAGAGATTGAATTCGGTTAATACTTGCTACCATTCAGTCCAGAACCTTTTGTCTTCTCATCTGCTGTCCAAAAACATAAAAATTAAAATATACAAAACTATAACTTTGCCTGTTTTTCTGTTTGGGTGTGAAACTTGGTCTCTGACATTAAGGGGGAACAGACTGAGGGTGTTTGAGAACAGGGTGTTGAGGAGAATATTTGGACCGAAGAGAGATGAAGTGACAGGAGGTAGGACAAAAATGCACAATGAGGAGCTTCATAACTTGTACTCTTCTCCAAGTATAATTAGAATGATCAAGTCAAAGAGGATGAGGTGGGGAGGGCATGTAGCACGAATTGGTGAGAACAAGAATGCCTATAGGATACTGGTGGGAAAGCCGGAAAGAAAGAGACCACTAGGAAGACCAATACGTAAGTGGGTGGACAATATTAAAACGGATCTTAGAGAGATAGGATAAGATGGTATGGATTGGATTGATCTAGCTCAGGATAGGGACCAGTGGAGGGCTATTGTGAACACGGTAATGAACCTTCGGGTTCCATAAAATGCTGGGAAATTCTTGAGTAGCTGCATAAGTGGTGGCTTCTCAAGAAGGGCTCAGCTCCATGAAGTTAGTTATTTAGACTTAAGGGATCACCATTTTGTCTGTGTGTCTGTGCATCCCCCCTATCAACTCCTGAATCCCCGAACCAATCTTCATGAAACTTGGTATGTCTATCATGGCACCTGAGCTCATCTCAATGGCGTACTTCACAAATACGTCCCGACAGTCTGTACGTCTCTATGTGTATCGTTGCTAGGCAAAGGCTCGGTAAAAAGATTACCGCAGCAAATAATTCACATACAAAAATATAAGAATTGTTTGACGAGTCGTTTTCTAATCGGTCAGTGTCGTATCAAAAAAAGTAGTCGGTTACTTCTTCCCAGAACTTCTTCTTTGCTTTTCTATTTGTTATGGACACCAACTATAAAATCAAAGAGAAATTTGTTTCTCATTCTTGTGAGGGTTGGTTTCCATAACAATTGGAAAGCACTGAACAAAAACGAATAATGTGGAGCTGAAAACGTGAGCGATTTTTGCTGTGGCTGTACAGTCATCTCGCGAACCCCTTAGGACATGCACTAAACTTGCCAAATCAACTGTTTACCTGTAGCGAGTTTACTAAAATTTCAGGGATATTAATGCTGTGTAGTCCAGAGGAGTCAAGCGAAGTTTCAGAAGAACATGTCTCCACCATCTTCAGGGTCGAAGAGTAAGCTAATCAAGACACCAGCATAAAACAGGAAGGAACTAGAGTTATAAGCCCAGTCTAGAAGTCTGCAAGGGCTTCAAATTCTCGGGATTAAACGACACTAAACTTAGGCAAGTGAAGGTGGAATATGGCTCTCATTACAGTGACCTGTTTAGGTGTTTTCGTAAACCTGTGGAGCACCTATCCGTCCGTCAATACTGACGAATCAACTCGAGAAAGGACTTCCTGATTTTCGTGGAATTTGATACTGGGGTCTGCTCAAATTCGTCGACAAATCCAAATTATAATTAAAGCCGGACTAAAATAATGGGATAAGAATACTCTGGCTTAAATGGGAACCGGGGTCGCTCAGTCGGCATAGCGACTCGATACGGGTGAACGACCGAGGAGTTCGAGTTCGAGTCCCGACAGAGACAAGAATTTTCTCTTCTCCACGTCGTCGAGACCGGCTCTGGGGTTCATCCAACCTCCTATTCAAAGGGTAACGGGGGGTAAAGCGGCCGGGCGTGAAGCTGACCACTCACCTCCAAATAGTGCCGAGGTAAAGAAAATGTGGATGTCTAGCTACATTCGTTTCCCATGCGTCTTCATGGCGTAGTTCTTAATTAGTTGAGCACAGAGACAACTTTGCCTTTTTCCTTTTGGCGCCACAGCCCCAATTTGGGCCTTGATCTACCTCCACGAAACTGTCCGTTTCACTTCGGTTTACTAGATCTTACACATTTGGTAGGATTCCTTGGGCGGGTGATCAGCTCGGTGCAAGGCCTCCACCTGTACTCAAGCACAGAAAAACTCACATACACATACACAAACACAAACACTAAACATCCATGCCTTGAGTGACATTCGAACCCACGATCCCGGCCTCCGAGTGAGCGAAGACAGTACATGCCTTAGTCCGCTCGGCTACCGTGACCGGCAGTGTATAAGAATAATATATAAGAATTCAGTTCGTACCTCACAGGAAACAGATCCGAACCCACGGTCCCAGCTTCCGAGCGAGCGGAGACAGTACATGCCTTAGACCGCTTGGCTACCGTGACCGGCAGTGTGTAAGAATAATATATAAGAATTCATTCCGTACCTCACAGGAAGCAGATCCGAACTCACGGTCCCGGCTTCCGAGCGAGCGAAGAGAGTACATGCCTCAGACCGCTCGTCTACCGTAACCGGCCAACTTTACCTTTTATTTTTTCCCTGGAACTGCAGCCCCAGTGGGCCTAGGCCGACCTCCATGAACTTCTCTGTTCACTTCGGTATTTCTAGATCTTACACATACGGTAGGACTCCTTGGGCGAGTGATCAGCTCGTCGCAAGGCCTTACCTGTAGACAAACACAGAAAAACGCACACAAACATCCATGCCCTGAGTGGGATTCGAACCCACGATCTCGGCTTCCGAGCGAGCGGAGACAGTGCATGCCTTAGACCGCTCGGCTACCGTGACCGGCCAACTTTACCTTTACTCTGGTTTAAATGCATTCCTAGTCGTGGCCACCTGCCGAATGTAAATCACTACCTGAATATTTAACAGAGCGAAAACTGTTTAAAGCACGGGATAGCTTAGTCGGTAGGGCGCTTGCTACATGCTGCAGGATGAACCACCGGGGTTCGATTACCAACAGGGCAATATTTTTCTCTACTCCACAGCATCCAGACCGGCTCTGGGGTCCACCCAGTCTCCTGTCCAAAGAGTAATGGACGACTCCTTATCCAGGGATAGTGTGGTCGGGGCGTGAAGCTGATGATTCACTTCCATCTACTGCCGAGGTAAAAAATGGTGCAGCTATACCTTCACTCTCTCAAATGTCTTCATGGCCTAGTGCGTAATTAACTAAGCACAGGACAACTTAACATTTACACATATTGTAGAGAATGTGATATATGCCTATGCATTTTGTGTTCAATAGGCTTACACTTAGGTCTATACGCCTATTGCTGTTTTCGTTATTTCTATTGTTCTGCAGGATTTCAGGCTCTTATAGCCGTGGTTAAGAACAGTCCTGTCTTCTGGGATATAACACCGTTCAAAGTCAACTGATGTTTCGGAGTGATATATTGCCTCCATCTTCAGATTCCAGAAAATGAACCAAGCAAAGAAACAATCATGAAACGGGTAGGTTGATTTTCAACGGAATATTTACAACTATTTGTTGTTTATCACGACGTTTAGTGATCCAGGCACTGTATCAGGATTTGTATGAAGGGACTGAGAATAACCACGAAACCCTCAGACAGGATCTCTGTGTTTATGCCAAGATTAGAACCTGACGTCACCAGAATATAAGCAAGAAGCTATACCGACTGAGCTGTCTTTATCGGCCGTTCTTCTAGTACAAAGAAACTGACCATTAAGTCACACAATTAAGACGCAGCCTATCAGTTAGCGTGTCTGTAAAGATGAAATCATTTAAAAGACAGGAAGCTTGTTAGTTACGCCCAGGGCCTCCAGTCAGTCCCCGCTATCTGTCTTGATAAAGAAATAAACATAAACATAATGAGATGGCGATCATTTCGTAACTTGACAAACAGGCTAATTGACTCATGCGCTATAGCAGACATTTTTGTTGTAAGGATAATATTCAATTAGATAAGACTAATAGGTTATGTTAGGATGTGAACTGGACCGAGCCGATTCAAGATTTTATGTGATGGCGAATTTCAGAACTTGTTC